ACTCTTAGCGACCCCATGGACTGCAGCCTACCAGGCTCCTCCGACCATGGGATCTTCCAGGCAAGAGTACTGGAGTGGGGTGCTATTGCCTTCTCTGCTGATGTTCATAGAAGAAGGTAAATTACAGAAATTGGCTAAGTTTGGAACTATAGGCAAAAATTCTAGAATAGATTATTAATGATGGTTTGTGAACAGTTAGGAGGTGGTACTCACTAGGAGACAGGAAGATCTCACAATTAAACAAGTAACATGACTTTGTTCCTTTCCTAACTGGGTATGTCATGAGTTGAATGAAAAAATGGTAATATTTGGCTCAAGGTCAAGAGACTTTGTTTCTAAGATGGACAGTTCTTAACAAAAATCCTGGCAAAGCAGGAGGCGATGAATCCTAAAAGTGAAGCAATGAGAGGATTCCAGAACAAAGAACTAGGTATTGTCTACCACTGTCTTCTAATGCCCATCATGGGGATACAGAAGGAAGGGTTAGCTGCATTATAAGGATCAGAACTGGGTGGACACTAGTAAGAAATCTCTGATAGGATGCATGATGAAATATAAGGGCATTGATCACGGATAGTAGTAAAGGTAATCTTTGTCATCATCATCATTGTCATTATCAAAATAATATGAATAAACTCATCACTTGGGAGGGGGCTTATTATTTTGCTAAGACAGTTCTAAAAAGTTGACACTTTCAAAGCAATCCTATGAGAGAAGAACTATTATTTTCTTTCTGTAGATGAGAAAAGTAAGGCACAGAGAGGCTGAGTAACTCTGTTCAAGGTCAAAGCTAACAGGTGACAAAACTGGTATTGAAATTTAGGCCCCAGAGACTGCTCTCGAGCTATAGTCCAGGGTTTATAGTGAGAAAAACATATGAACCCCTGAAGTACTGAGCAGTATATGGATGTCAATCTCAACAGAAGTCTTGGAAGGTATACACCCCAAAGTTCTTAACTTAGCCCTGTCCTGTCGAACATTTTTTAAATGACATATGCAAAGAAACCAAAAGATTGCTTATAAAATCAAGAATGACATGGAATTTGGAGGAATAGCTATGATTTTTTTGATGACAGAATGAGGATTCAAAAATATCTCAATAGACTGAAATGATGAGCTAAAAATAACATTAAGTCCAAAGGCTACAAGTGAGATCATGAATTTAAGTTAAAAAAAAATTCCTTCAAATACAGCTTAGAAAAGATAAGGCCAATTTCAGCTAATATTTCTTCTTACACTTTCCTACCGTCTACAGCCAGACAGTGACCATGTCCTACAAATTCACCCCGTCGTGTCTCTTGGTCTGCCCCTTCCCCTCCATTTCCCCCACGTCTCCTCTAATTCAGGCGCTCTGCCTCTCTCTACTACACCTCCACACTCTTGCCTCTCCAATCCATCTTCCTCAAGCTCAGAAACATCTCCCTAAAGCACAGGTCTGCCCTGGCACTGTTTACTCATCCACAGTGGTTCCCACTACCCAACTTCAAAAGGTCAAGTTCCTTGAACCTGGTATTCAACAGCCTCTATTTTGGCTTGGCCATCTTTTCCAAAACCCAAATATCCATCATTTGTTCATCCTTTTCCTGCTCTTCCCTACCTTCTTGACATTGTTCTGGTTCCTTCATTCCTTCAGCTTAAATTCTGTCTGAATCCTCCTTGTTTTAGGGACTTCCCTGGTGGTCTAGTGGCTAAGACTCTGCACATCCAATGCAGGGGCCCCAGGTTTGATTCCTGGTCAGAGAACTGCATCCTGCATGCCACAACTAAGAGTTTGCGTGCTGCAACTAAAGATGCAGCCAAATAAACAAATATTTTTAAAATCCTACTCATTCTTCACAAGCCCAAGTTTATATCTTTCACCAAGTCTTTCTTATCCTCTGTAATTTCTTCTTCCTAGAGCATGTCATCATTGCCTAACTTACCATATTTTCTATCATAAGTTAATGCTGTGGGCATGTATGGCTGCTTTCTTTGTCTCCTATTTTCCTTTCCATGCTTTACCAAGAATGTAAGCTCATTAAAGATATCATCTGTAACTGACTACTTTAGTCCTACACATTCACATGCAATGAAGGATGTGCTTCGGCACTGGGTCCTGCAAAAAGAAGGCAGTGGTTTCACATCTGGAGCACTGGGCTCAGAGTGGAGTGCTCCTTTTTTAAGACAGACACTGTCAGGCTAATGGCAATGAAGAAAGAAGAGTAGGATGGTTTGTGGACCCAGGATGCATCAGAAACCAAGGATGTTCAATCTAGAGTGAAAAAAACCAAAACTACTAAATGGACCATGACAGACATCTTCACATATCTGAAGGGCTGTTCACGTGTAAGGCTGAAACTGATTTGGAAACACTCCAGGAAAAAGAACTATCCCCAATCTGAGTATCATTTCAAAACAAGAATGCTCAATAATGATCACTGCGCTCTGTGGATTTAGTAAGCTATACAATCTCCATTATAATTAATACTCACTGCATTATTATGTGTTAGAAATCATGGGCTGCCCTTGAACTTCCCTGCTGACTCAGATGGTAAAGCGTCTGCCTATAATGAGGGAGACCTGGGTTCAATCCCTGGGTCGGGAAGATCTGGAGAAGGAAATGGTAACCCACGCCAGTATTATTGCCTGGAAAATCCCATGGGTGGGGGAGCCGGGTAGGCTACAGTGCACGGGGTCGCAAAGAGTCAGACAAGACTGAGCAACGTCACTTCACTTGACTTAATGAAATATAAAAAAGAGAAGACATATCTTGCTTTAAAAAAAAAAAATCTTAAAATTCAATGCCACTTAAAGTAAAGGTAAAAATAGATTTTTAAAATATGTTTTTTGACTGTCATTTGGTAAATGTGACATTGGTACAACCATTATGGAATTTGGTTTTGTAAAGTTAAAAATACAGCTTTGGTCCAGAAATTCCACTCTCAGACAACTAATTAACCAAGGGCAATGGCTTTTAAAATTTTTATGTGTATCTCTTAAAGGAATTTTGAAAAACTGTATTCTCTTTCCCAAATTTAATTTAGGGTATTTTTTCTTTTTTTTAAGCATGAGTTCAATGGTTATAAAATACGTAATTTTTGGCACATTATAAATATTGATACTTTAAATCACTATTTTAAGTGTAACCAATAGAATCTCAGTACCCTAGGGATTTGATATCCACCACAATACATTTAAAATATATGAAAATAAGCTTGTAGTTCAGCTGGTAAAGAATTTGTCTGCAATGCAGAAGACCCTGGTTTGATTCCTTGGTTGGGAAGATCCCCTGAAGAAGGGAACAGCTACCCATTCCAGTATTATGGCCTGGAGAAGTCCATGGACAGAGGAGCCTGTCAAGCTACAGTCCATGGGATCACAAAGAGTTGGATACAGCTAAGTGACTTCATTAATTATTATTAATGGTTAAATAGGTTTCATTTTTCTCTTTGAAGTATTATTTCTATTTCATTTCCTCACCAAGTTTTATCCTAATGGAATATATCTTAATGCCTGAAAGTATTTTATTATTAATCTATTTATAGTTTTCTGCAAAAAATTCATCTAATTAAAATCTAAAAATTTAAATTAAAATTTTCTTTATCAAAATACTAAATGTTAACATTTTTGTTTGATGTGCCATTAGAATTATCACTTGTGTATCACAATTACACAATTGAGTATAACATATATGTTGATTATATGTATGATTTTAACCTAGATGTATTAACATTCTTGATGAATAATTACTGAACAAAAAAAAATATTATTGGGAGTGCATCTTTCAGTGAAATGACTGTTTTTGGGTTTTTTTTTTGGTTCATGTAGCTGTGGATAAATATTATTTAATGTTGGAGTTAAGGAGGTTAAGCATCAATCTATCTTACATTCTTGGCCAGGTTAATCTTCCCTAAACACTGCTTCCTGGCTCACTTATAATGGCTCCTTATCATGTATTACTCAACATCTAAATTTCCAAGTCTTATTTTTTAAGACCCTTTGTTATATGGTCTTACTTTTCCTGTTTAACATTATTTCCTACTATCTTCTCTTAGGAACTCTGTTCCACTCAAACCTCTCCCTCCTCAACCATCCATCTAAATATCAGATAACTATGCTTTTGCTGATTCTTTATCCCTGCAATGCTCCTAGTTCTTCTTTCTACCTCCCTCAATCTCATCCATCTTTCTAAGGTTCTGAACCTATCTCACCTTCTGTGCAATTTCTCTTGACTCCAGCCTGTCACTCTCTTTCATGTTTTATTCCTTCTGCTTTTACAGTCCATAGTGTACAAGTAGGACCTGATCCTGTGCTATACTGTCTATCCTTAATTATATATCACATAAAATTTTTCTTGCCTAATTGTTTCAGGTCTTGTCAACCAGACCATAATTTTTTCCTATTATTAGCTTTTTACAAGAAGTGCTATGATCTTTTCTACAAGCTCAAAGAGAATTTTGAACTCAGAGAAAAGAAATCAGGAGGAAAATGAAAGGTTTTCAAGTTTATAACAATGACCTTTCACATCCACTGATGCTAAAAACAGGGTAACCATCCTTTCATGACAGTAGGAATGCTATAGATTAACTATCAGGAGGGATACATTTGTACTAACTAAAAGAAAATCATATAGATTATTAAGGGTTGCTAAAAGTTCAAAATTGCTTTCTTTAAAGATCTTTTAGAATCCCAAGAGGGGTTAATCAAATCTGGAATTTCCTTGAGGAAGACACACCTTGTGATTCTAGATGTTCGTAAAAATCAAGGCTGACGCTTCATCTAAGCCACTCGGTGGCAGTCCGAAGTGGCTCTGTCCCTTTGTCCCTTCCATTCTCTGTGGATATACATGTATGTGTCTAGCAGACTATTGCTGTCGTCTATGTTCTCATCAGGCTTCTTGACAAACTGAAGGATGGTCCTATTCTATAATGGTGGAAATTGAGGCTATGAAGGCAACACCACCAACCACCCCATGGTCAAGTTCTGAACTGACTTTGCTTCGCTCCCACCAGACGCTCTACCTGTGGGCTGCGGTGCAGATGTCCTTGTATTCCTGGAGCTTCACGCACACCATGTTGAGGAACTGATCCGAGTAGGCACTCAAGTCGTGCATCAGGTTCAGGAGGTCTTGCACTGTCTTCTCCACAATGATTGTGCTCTGGAAAAGAACACGAGCGAACACAGAAGCTTATGAGGGTTCGGACTCAGGTAATGTGTAGGACAAGGAAGGACAACTAAAGGATGTAATCACTTAAGACACCTGAACTTTCCTAGAAGGACATGACATTTAAAAATAAGGCGAGGGCAGGATGTTTCAAGAGAACAGCATCGAAACATGTATATTATCTATAGTGAAACAGATCACCAGCCCAGGTTGGATGCGTGAGACAAGTGCTCGGGCCTGATGCACTGGGAAGACCCAGAGGGATCGGGTGGAGAGGGAGGTGGGAGGGGGGATCGGGATGGGGAATACATGTAAATCCATGGCTAATTCATGTCAATGTATGACAAAACCCACTACAATACTGTAAAGTAATTAGCCTCCAACTAATAAAAATAAATGAAAAAAAAAATAAAAACAAACAAACAAAAAATACTCGATGAAAAAAGAATTAAGTATCTTACATAGTGCAGATCCTCCCAAGACATGAGAAGGTGTTTTTTATGGAAGGACACAGCACAGGGAATTTCAAATTGATTTCACCAAATTCTTGGCATTCACAAGATATCTCTATGTGGCTTTTAAGAAAGGAAATACATATTCAGTTGCAGTCAGATTTATCACCCTCAGGGTTCTACTTTTAGATTAGGGATCCATGACAGGCAGCCTGAAGAAAAAGCCTTCCAGGAGTTGTTTTTAAAAGTTTCAAAGCCATCAAACTATTAAGGATACCAAATAACATGTGTATTGTGCCTTACAGCTTGTAGAATGTTTTCACATATACAGCATATGTTACCCTCACTTGAAACGCACATAATAATGATAATCACGAACACTTACGGATTCTTACAAGTGCAGGGTACTGAGCTAGACACTGTACATGCTTTATCTCATTTAATCCTCTCAACAAACCTACCTATCAACTGAATCCCTTAACCATCCCCAGTGTAAAAAGGAGGAGACAGGCTTAGAGAAAGAAAAATGCAAAGCAGGGACTCCAGACTGCAATCTTTTCACTACACCATTGCGCTTTAGAAACATTTCTCACGAGATCATCATACTTCTTCTTGTTTTTGTCACTGTAGAAGCAGTGTCCAAATAGATGTGTTTTAAAAGTGAATTAAAGGAATATCCAAGGGAAAAAATAAACCCATCTTTAGAGACTAATAATACTGTGTGGTGAAACAATGCTATATCTAAACAGAGGCATTTTCAATAAATTCTAAATTTTTGCTTACGAAAAAAAAAAGAAGGTGGCAAGCCATGCCAGAAAAAAAGAAAAGGTATAATTGTTCAAACCATTGGTTTGTGTCTCTTTCCCAAAGAGCACAATTACACAGGAGTAAATATTAATCGCATGCTTAGCATTTTGAAATCCTTCGGTCAATAATTGGTTTGATGAATATGTATTTATTTATATAGAATTCCAGACTGAGCCAGAAAAGTAAACACCAAATTTTTTTTTTCTGGTCTGACAGTGACATTTGAAATAATCAAAGGCATTTAATTATGCTTAAATACAGACTCTAGGGTACAGGGTTTTGGTTTTCTTTCTTCTACAGACAAAAAGAATGGACAAAAGTGTACAGCTTTTCTCAACACAGTGGAGGACCAGCTTAAGTTATGAGTTTACACGTGTGCACTTATTTAGGCTTATTTGGTTCTAGAGGTTTCTTCTTTGCCTCTCCTCTCTCCACACCCCAAGTAAAATAATCAGAAGATGAAAAGGAAGGAGCAGTTACATCGTGTAGGGAAAACTCCATGGGAAACCAAATTACAGTCTCTATAGAATCCCCACAAATTCAACTTCCTTTTCTGTATTGATTTTAAGATTAAAGCACTGCAGCTTCCCCCTGATCCATAATTCTGTTCCTTGGTGTTTGTGTGTGAGTGACAGGAATTGATTCTGCTCAGCTACATGTCCCTATGCTGCTATGAAGAATCAAAAATCCTCATCCTGATTAAGAACACAGGATATCCTACCACACGTGGACAGCAATTAATAAAGGAGAGTGGACTCCAGCCATCCTAACAAAGGCCATTTAAAATCTGAAACACTGCAGGGAAGGTGAGCACAAGCAGATGGCTCAGATCACTGAGAGAAAGGGCCTAGTTCTATTTCCAACCATGCTATTGACAATTCACGCTGGGACAGTTTTGGGGAGCGCCAGCCTTTCTGATGGCTCCATCTAGCCTTCTGGACACCAAGGATGACTTGATGGTCCTTTGCTGGCCGTCATCACTCAATTGGTACCTTGGCGCTTGCAGACTTGGACTGTTCCAGGTCATCTCAGGTGTGTTTGTTCCTCCTGATTAGACTATCACCTTCTCAAAAGTGACACCAGTATTCTTCTTTTCTAAAACTTCCCCTGTGTTACACAGTAGCTTCCCTCTAGCTATCTATCTTACACATGGCAGTGTATATGTCAGGGCTACTCTCACAGGTGGGATGCAGGTGGGTGCGAGGGAGGCTTACGAGGGAGTGGATATGTGTACACTTAGAGCTGATTCACACTCTTGTACAGAAGAAACGAACACAACGTTGTAAAGCAATTATCCTCCAACTAAAAATATCTTAAATTCAGCCAACTTAAATAAAAAAACAAAACAAAAATAAAATATAACCTTCCCACCCTTCCCTTTCCTCATGTGTTCTGTTAATTTCTTAGGATCTTCAGCACAGTACTACTAATCAAAGAAACAGGACTAATACTCTAACTCATATAAATAATGTGAGGGATGTCATATATGTGAAGGATGCTAGACACACACATCTTTGCATTTTGAAGTCTCTTTGGATGGATTCGGTTTGGTCTATACTTATCTCAGGGCTTTTGGGTGACTAGAATTGTGCTGATGTCAGTTGGAGGGGAAGGCGAGGTTGGAAGCACATAGAAATATCCTCAGGAGATAAAGGTTTTGGGGTAAACAGAAAGTACCTGCAGGGAATGATTAGAATGCCATGGTTTAATTCTAATGGTTGTGCTCAACACAGGGCCTATGTGATGCTATATGATTATATACAATTTTCCAGCTATTTGCTTGGTTTACCTTGTCATGGTAGCACTCTGGATAATCAATCACTACATTCTCTTCAAGGAAAATAACACTGTAGTTTGCCAAACGATGGGCATTTTTACAGACGAAAAAGATTCCATTTTCCAAGAATTTATAACAATTTCCAAATCAGTGGCTCTGACAGATAAATACTGAAAATATCAAATGTCTAACAAGGTCAATCCTGTTTTTATTTATTTGATCCCTTTGGCATCACAAATGATTTATTGTCTCATTATTAATTTGGCAATTTGCCAGTGGTGACTATAATGACTTCATCATAAGTAAAACCTTGATTTTATTCATTATAATTGCCATTAAACATATCACACATGATTGATATTTGTTTAAAAATAACTCAATTCTCATTTCTTGCAACCTATTACCAGGTAATAAGTCTGAGCTTGACATGAAAAATGAGAAAAGGAAAAAAAAAAAAATCCCAGGATAGCTGAGGCAAAAAAAAAAAAAAAATTGCTATCAAGAATAAACAACTAAAGTTTCTTACAGGGATATATCAGCAATGTAAAATAAGAAGATGGTATATAAGGATCAGCTCTTTGGTTCTGCACTTAAAATTTTTAATATATGAATAAATGAATAAACATGATTGGAATTAAGGACATTGTCCACTTAGCCCAAGTCCTAGTCGGGTACAGCAACCAGTGGTAAACCTTTTCTTTTAAATAGGAGTATAGCTGATTTACATTGTTGTGTTAGTTTCAGGTATACAACAATGTGAATCAGTTATATGTATATATATATACATATATATATATATAGTGCTGTATATATATGTACATATATATACACACACATACACATATATATACATATATATATAGCTGTATATATATATACATATATATACATATAGCTGCTCTTTTTTAGATTATTTTCCCATACAGTTCATTACAGAGTATTCAGTAGAGTTCCTTGTGCTACACAGCAGGTTCTTACTAGTTACCTGTTTTATATATAGTAGTGTGTATATGTCAATCCTGATCTTCCAATTTATTCCTCCCCCATTTAACCCCTAAATAACCATAAGCTTGTTTTCTGTACCTGTAACTCTATTTTTGTTTTATAGATAAGCTCGTTTGTACCCTTTTAAAAGATTCCATGTATAAACAATATCATGATGTTTGTCTGTCACTTCCTTACTTATAGTCTCTTCCATCACATTACAAAATCCTTTTGATGGGTGACTATACCTTCATATCTCTACTGCCTAGGAGAAGGTATCTGGCACATTGCAGGTGCTCAACAGATGTTTATTTGATGAACTGATGCACATTCAGAACAAGGGGGGTGAAAAGACAGAATAGAATTATAAAGGAGGGTAATGGTTCAAAAGCCTGATTTGGTAACGCTGAATCAGAATATGGTCTCTTTATTACTACATCACTGTATCTTAATTCTCATGGTTCTGAAGACTGAAGATCTTAGACTTCTCTATAAAAACACTCCTAATTTCACCTAATTGCTTTATTTTTCTTTAATGACAATCCATAAATATATATACACACACACAACTAAATTGTTAATTTAAAGTTTTAAGATGTATAAATAAATTCTCAACTCAGGAAAAAACAAAAAACTTCAGTGTGGAGAATGTGGTCTCTATATGTGTGCTGTTTTAGCCCTTGGATCAGGGATGGTTCAGAGATGCTGCAAATAGCCTAGGGTCCTGGGAAACTGCTTTAGGAAGAATTTGAAAGAAACCAGTAAATCCATCTATCACTTCAGACACGCCCCACCACACCCTCTCAGCAAGACACACAGCAATAATTGTGGGGGGAGGGGGTTTTTCTAGTATTTAATGATGACAATGTTTCTGTTTAGGAGGATATATCCAACTACAAGTTACCAGATCTCATCATTGCATATTGTCCTTCCAGTTACTATCAGCTCCGAGTTGTTGTTGGTTGTAAACAATA